CTCTTTCTCCTTCTCCTCTTCTTCTTCTCCTCTCCTCCTCCTTCTCTTCCTCCTCTCCTCCTCCTTTTCCTCCTCCTCTCCTCTTCTCCTTTTCTTCTTCCCCTTCTCCTCTTCCTCTTCCTCCTCCTCTCCTCCTCCTCCTCCTCTTTCTCCTTCTCCTTCGTCTCCTCCCTCTCCCCCTCCTCTTCCTCCTCCTCCCCATTATCATCTGGAGTACAACAACAGACCAGAATTTCTGTTGTTAATCATTGTGGTTGTAAGTTGAAGCGCCCACATGACTGGGCCCAATTGTTTAATCATTTTTACAACAACCGTTAAGTGAAATCTTAGAGGAATGAATCCGAATGCTGAATGGTACAAAGCAACCTTGTACGTATTTTCTTTCTTTTTTTTAGCAAACAGGCATTAGTGCTGACTCTGTGCCAGGTTTTTACGAAAATTGAAGTGGAGGTAAGGAAGAAGAAAAGAACGATGGCTGTTCAGTCTGGTTAAGCGGAATAAATTGTGTCCATTTCTTACTTATTGGTGGGGAAGGGAAGGAGCGAGAAAGAGAGAAAGGGAGAAGGAAAGGAAAGGAAGGAGAAAAAGAAAAAAGGGAGGGAGGGAGGAAGGGAGGGGGAGATAGAGAGAGAAAGAGAAAGAAAGAAAGAAAGAAAGAAAGAAAGAAAGAAAGAAAGAAAGAAAGAAAGAAAGAAAGAAGAAACAAAAGAAAGAAAGGAAAGGAAAGTGTTTCTATTTGTTTGATGTTTTAATTCTAAGAGTTTTTTCTCAACATGGTGCAAAATAATGCCTCCTTTTTTTAAAAAAAGGAGAAGGTTTTCCTTTCCTAAGGCTGTACCTCCCTCTTGTGGCAGACAATCTTACCTTCCCCTTAGCTGAGAAATAAATTAAAAAGCTGCAAACTCTGTTGGACCATTACACTGAGGCTGCCTTTATTTTTTTACTGAGGCTGTCTTTATTTTTCAGTTCCTCCCTGTTCATGCCCCATCGGAGGCAGAAAAGAAAGACCCCGTCCTTTTCGCCAACAGAGTCCGTAACAAAATGGCAAGGTCAGTGTTTGTAGGAGAATATGTCTTTATTTGCAATAGAGTGAGCAGGTTGTTGCACCATCTAGAGGGCATTGGAAAGATTTTATTTTTACAGCCTGGATATGTGAGCTTTCATACAGATCCTCCCTCCCTCCCTCCCTTCTTTTTTCCTTCCTTCCTTCCTTCCCTTCTTCCTTCCTCCCCGTCCTTCCTTCTTTCCTTTTCCTTCCTTCCTTTTCTTTCCTTCCCTCCCTCCCTCCCTCCCTCCCTTTTCTTTCCTTCCTTCCCTTCTTCTTCCCTTCCTTTCTTCCCTTCCTTCCTCCCTTTTCCTTCCTTCTTTCCTTTTCCTTCCTTCCCTTCTTTCTTCCTTCCTTTTCTTTCCTTCCTTCCCTTCTACCTTCATTCCTTCCTTCCTTTTTTTCCTTCCTT